GTGACAGCTCATACTTTTCGACTCTCCTTTTTCTCCCTCCCTGGCACTCACAGACTCATAACAGGTATGGCAGTCCATTCTCCCTGCAGCACTACTCTGCCCATAAGGCTACATTCTTTAGGGCGATGCCTGTAACACTCTGCCTATTGCCTTCATATTAAATAATTTAAAAAAATATTTCTTCAAGTCATTATGAGACACGAGATTGAGAGAGGCATTTGAGCCTCTTAATGCGTGTTTTGTTTGGGTTTCCACCAACGTGGAATTACCAAAATAGAGAGGGGATAGCCTCTCCTGAAACAGGAAGAGACCGCGTGTAATCCCTTTATTTCAACAAAGTAACTGTATTCTGAATACCACTTTTTTTAAACGGTAACTGTAATGGAATACAGTTACTCATATTTTGTATTTTAAATACGTAACGGCGGTACATGTATTCCGTTACTCCCCAACACTGCTTATAATGGAAACGATCAAACCTGCTCCGAAAGTTTGAGTTTGTATTCTCTCAGCTGCAGACTCGCTGCTGTTTAAAGATTTGAGAGCAAAGTTTAGACATAAAAAGAAACGTCAAACATGGGCTCAGGATATGAGGTCAGTAATTACAGTGTCTGTGTCCTGTTTTAAGATCGATGTAAAATGCATGTAAAATTGTTTTCAGCCAACATGAGAAAATTAAATAAACTTGTGCCTATGATTTTATTACTGATGCCCATCAGGGAAACACAAAGACTGTAGAGGCAGACACGCTTTTTTCATCATCAACACGTTTCCATTTGTTTTGCAGTTTATCAGCAGGACCCTGCTGGAAAACTATCTGCACAGCTGATGAATGACCACTTTTTAGTTTCAAAGGGACATGAGGGATACTTCCCAGAGTCTGACCTGCATCGATCCAGCTGCTCAGTGTCCGTGGTTACCATAGTTACTGCATAAGGTCCTGTGAATTAAACAGCTGGCACTGCAGTAACTTACCGGCAAAATGAGTGTTTACATTTTCATTACAAAAGAACTGTCTGACTTGGTTAACTTGGTTAAATATGACTGACACCCATAAATGAAGCAGCATCTGGCTGCAGTTTAAAAATATTGTGAATAGCAGAGCATAGTGCTTTTACTGTAAAATGAAAATAACAGTAAGAGCAGGTTCCACCACAAACCTGCACAGACAGATCAGAACTGTCCATCCCACAGTGCAGTTGGAGGATAGAGGGCAAGTTGGCTCAACGTCTACTGACCCTGTGGTGTCTGGTCCCAAACCAACAACAACTGCTGCAGAAGCTACTAGTGCATCAGCCCATCTTACTGCAACTCAAAGCACAATAAGTCAGTTTATACCAAAGCAGATGACCTCAGCCAAACAGCACAGTATTGATGAGGGGTTGGCTAACATGATTGTCACTGATTTCCAGCCCTTTTCCATTATGGAGGATAAAGGTTTTAAAGGTTTTGTCAAAGCCTTAAATCCCACATACACTCTACCTAGTAGGAAAACACGGTCCCTAACAATAATCCCAAAAGTATATGGCACAGAACATGCATTATGGCAAGACAGGGTGAAAAAAAGCTCCATCAGTTTACCTGACAACTCACTGCTGGACCTCTTGAACCACCTGCTCTTTCGAGTCTGTCACTTGCCTCTTTATTGAAAATTACAAGATGACATCTTTGTCTGCTGGACTGCTTTGACATCACTGACAGACACACTACAGAAATGTTGGTAGAGGAGCTATTAAAAGTGGAAAATGAGTGGCAAGTACAGGACAAAGTGGTGTGATGTGTAAGTGATAATGCTGCAAACATCACCAAGGCCATAAAAATTCTGAAG